TTCAACTCGATAGATTTTAATACCATTCCAGTGAGTAGAAAATGACCTGGAAAGAATGACGAGGTACGGTTTTCATAAAAAAAAAACTTCGATGCTTCTGAAGCCACCGGTTACTTGTTGGCCTCAGAAGCCAACGAGTAAAATTTTCACACAAAAGAATGTTCAACTTGGCACGGGTTTCATGAAAACAAATTTGGACGAACGCCCAAAAGTTTAGCGGTTGTGATCGCTGAGGCGAGATCCAAAAGCCGTGTAAAGCATACGCAATGAGTTATGCGAAACACCAAGCGCTTTAACTTCAGCGGGAGACCAGGCTCTCTATTGACACAACTTCGTTAAATTCTTGCGCTCCCAAGAACTCTCGTCAAATTCTGTTGGCTGCGAGAATTCGCTTATTCGGTGTCGTCATGTAAGAGACGAAGGCTTGTCATGCTCCCGCTGTCGTATTCCAGAATAGGATTACTTGATGACATTCATTTTATATTTTATTCATTTTTTATTTTTGTAATAAGTATAGGATGACGTGGGGACATATAATTCGAATAAAAATAGTATGACTTCGAGACATGTTTTACTAATAAAAATATTACGATTCGGTGACTCGTCTTTTGCATAAAATTGTTTTATTATACGCCAATTAAATAAACAGAAATATCTCATGAAACGCGACATACTTAAATTTTTGCATCATTTAGTTTTAAATATTACATCGGACAAATGACGGCCCCATGCATTGTCAATGCATTCAGTTAGTAGATTTTTGAAGTTTCGTTCAACTCATATTGAGGGGAACTGATCTCATTGAGCATATTGAGAGGTATTGACCTCATTACCTTAAATCAATCACTTACAATGAATGTCCAAGGACCCTACCTCATTTAAAGAACAACACACGCCAATCCATCGCCAACACACCCGTCCAAATGCTTCAACGAGTTGAGCGGAATTTCAAAAATTGACCTACTGAATGCACTGACAATGCATAGGGCCCTCATTTATCTGATGTTATCTTTAGAACAAAGTGATACAAATTTTCAGGTATGTGTCTTGTTTTCTTCAATAAAATTTATAATATAATGATATCTTTGCTACTTACTTTTTTATTGAGCATTCAAATCAGGGAGTTTCCATGAATAACTCAGTATTTTTTTGAGGGCTACTTATTTGTTTTAATACTATCAGTTTCGTATCATGAATCATACAAATGGCCAATGGGGACCTGTCTAAGATTTAATAACTACTGCAGAACTTGAATCGTTTTTATACTGAATTGGACGTCCTCACAGTCGATAGAGGTGTACCAAAAGAATCTGCACTATTATTTGTTTGCTCATGAAGCAATTTATTCATGTTACAATTGCCATGAGCAGAAGTTTCTTCTGCATTTCTCGAATTTCGAAAGAGAAGACTCATCGGTTCATTGTATTCCTGTCAGCAGACTGCTGAAAGATCAAACTTGAATGTTGACTATCGACCACGAGGTAAGAAATACCTCGTGGTCAAGGGCAAATCCCGAGGTACGAAATTCCTTCAGTCGCAACTAAAACGCACGACGCGAGGTTCGAAGATCGCCTCGAGAAGCGATTGCGCGACACGAATGGGAATGCGCTGCGGGCACGATTTCTCAAGTAATCAAGAAGTTTCTGCTTTAATGTCAATTCGTCCTTATTGTCCTAACACGATATATGGCAATATTTTTAAACCGGGTCTTGAAAAATAAGAAACGCACTCATTTATTCTATTTCGACATAGGTACCCTATTCTATTTTGATATACCAGACGTACAGACATGCAACGCTACCTTCTGAACGACTTGCCAGCTGCAAGACCACTGCGCATTGAACTAACTCGGACGTTTAAGCATTGAATTCGTGCTGTGAACTCGCATCAGGGCATTCTACGAATTCACGAAGCAATTTTCCGGCATTAAAAGATGCCAAAATGAAAGAAAATTTTTATGGTACTTAGATGCTTTGGTATTTAAAATCTCAAATTCTACCAACGGCTATGGTGATCTGGGCATGGGTCTACTTAAAATAAACGGTTGTTAATTTTCAATCTAGCCAACCCACGCGAGAGAACGGGTGTGTGGCAGAGAAGTTTCCACAGAGAATACAGGCTTTCGGTGTGGAATGTCTTTAGAATTGAGATCGGTTGTTCATGCTGCAGTGAAACTACTATCTGGAAAACTGCGGCAGTGAAAGCGAGAAACGAAACGAGCGTTTCCACCAAGACATTCAGGCGCTGGAGTGGCGCCTCGAGGGATACAGAGGGCAGCTGTTGACCATTCAGCAGTCCCTCAGGGAAATCCTGTCAGTCAAGTCTGATCTGACCAATTAATTCAAATTAAGATGCGTCTAAACATCTTTCAAAATGCATATGAGGCATAATGACCTGGCGAAATTGAGCTGATATAGTTGTGAATTATTAAACAACTAAGTGAGTGTGCATCGAAAATAAAGCGAAACAGCGAAATTTGTCAATTTTATAGATGCGGATTCATTGAATTATCTTAGTTTTGCAACTTTGAGGAAATAATTTTTTCGGTCAACTCTTATTGACGGAAAAAACTCGGCATGGAGGTCAAAAATCGAAAATGTTTTAGCTACGAGCTTCGTCGACACATCCTCTGGATTTTTTGCCAGGAGAACAAGCAATCCATCAGCACACCGAATAAATAAGCCTAAGCTTTCATTTACCTACTGACATACTTCCGACTGTTAGTTCCTTTGGAAGCCGATATCTAAATCTGTTGGTGGAATCAGTCAACTCGTAAATTAGTGTTAGACTAGAATAGAAGTGTCGGCACTGGAGAAAAGGCCCATGGCCTGTTGCCAATTCTTGTACTTTTCGTGGCATGATTACACAAGGGATCCGACCTTTTGAACCCGATCTTTCCATAATTGACGATAGATTGAGTTAGCTGCTGGACTTGTTGCCTGGTCCGTAATTTGCTAGGCATTTTAAGACCGAACATATGCTCTTGCATAGCTTCGTCTAGTCCGTTCTTGAAGGCCTTCATACTCTGAGCGTCAACGCTGCCTCAGGGAGGCTGTTCCTCATGTTGGTGACTCGAAACGAGAATGAATGTTGTCGCGTGGATGTGTTACGGCGCTGTTTTTTTACTAATTTATAGCCGTGGCCTCTGGTGTTGAATCTTGTTTCAAATTCTAGGTCTCCTTCTGGGATCTTGTACAAACCGTGGGATTTGATGGATGATCGTTCACCACGCACCACCTTTCTAACCATTTTCTTCTGCGATTCATTTGACAATTTAATTGATGAATTTTCATGCAAAAAATTATTTCGCACTATAAACGCACTCGATATTATTACGCAATTCTTAGTTTTTGAATATTTGAAATATGCAGTTACTTTTCTCGTTACGCCGGAGATTCCCAAACTTCGCGCGATTGAGTACCCCTTCGATTGAGTTCTCATACACTAAGTGCACCTAAAGCACTAGACACAACTCACGAATTTATACTGCTTTTTTGTATTATCCAATTCAGTGCAGTGGACTTAGCGCTTTAGGTAGGTGCTAAGCTCGAATCTAACTGTTCGCAGCATCGCAAAACCTTGGAACAAGAAGAGTGGCAAAATAGTTGCCGATTGTTGCGCGTTTTCTCCAGTTCGGCAGTGAACACTTGAATGGAGCCAATAAAGTCAAAGATAAACCCGTGAAGCCAACTCTTGCCTCACATCGTTGCTAGTCGAGTTAGGACGCATAAAAGTCACGACTTATTCCGGTGTTGAAATTTGTTTTGGTCTACCATACAAATTTTCTCTCAACATATAGAAAACATGAATATTAGATGGGCAACAATAAAGAATCTTCGCACATCATTATCGACCACCGTAACAAAATTTTTATGTGCGATACGAGACCAAATAGTGATCGCATTGTTCTACAATTGCACTCTGGTGAAAATATTTGGGGATATTCTGTTTTTTTCCGATAACTAACTACATCCTACTGGTGCTGACCCGCGGGGTAATCTGGCAGCCGTTCGAACGTACCGGGGAGCGGGGACAAGAAAAGAAGTGTCGGCGTTGAAGAAATAGGCCCATGGCCTGTTGCCGATTCTTGAACTTTTCGTGACTTGATTCACAAGGGATCCGGGCTTTGGAACCCTATCTTTCCTTAGCTGACGATTGATTGAGATAGCTGCTGGACTTATTGCCTGGTTCGTAATTTGCTAGGCATTTCAAGACTGAACATGTGCTCCTGCATAGCTTTGTCTAGTCTGTTTTTGAAGATGTTCATACTCTAAGCGTCAACGATGCTGTCAGGGAGGCTGTTCCACATGTCGGTGACTCGGAGCGAGAAGAAAATTTGTCGCATGGATGTGTTCCAACGCTGTTTTTTTAGTTAATCGCCGTGGCCCCTGGTGTTTGTTCTTGTTTCAAATTCTAGTTATCCTTCTGGGACCTTGTATAAGTCATGAGTATACTTTTATACTTCAATGAGGTCCCCACGCAGACGTCGATAACCGAGGCTTGGAAGCTTCATAATCTTCAATCTTTCCTCATAGAACTTCCCTTTCAAGCCCGAAACTATTCTTGTTGCGTGTCGTTGAACACTTTACTAAATTTCTGTCCTTTTCAAATTTCGGTGCCTTCAAGCCGACCTTAGGCGTCCGACCTCTGCATGCAGAGTCTGCCGTTGGCGTCTAGTCAATCAAGAGCTTCGAGACCTCTTCACGTGCTCTGAACGTCAGTTTATTGCTTCAAGTTCACGGCCAACGTTCGAGAACGGAACCTCATCTTCAATTTACAACATTGTAGTCAAGCTGCAAGCAATTCGCACGCACTGTAACAACCCACAACACGAACTTCTGCCTTCAAGCCCTTGAGCCTGTAAACGCTACAAATATTCTATATCCATACATTATATTACCACCTCGACAATAATTCGAAGGATATGACTGTTTTTAAGATTGCGAATTCGAAATAAGCAATACGGAACCACTTAAATTCGAGGATATGTGAAAGAACTAGTATTTTCAAAAATCTATTAATATACAATTGATGAGCATTCTACGTTATCTACAGTGACAACCGTATTGTACAAGCCAATGTCTAGGAGCCCTGCCAATGACTCCAGATTCTGGACTACCAATACAGGATTAAGTGAACAACCAAACCACGATTATCAAGCCTTCCACGTTTTATGTTTATCCTAGAAATTCGTTCAAAAGATAGACATTTGATGGATGATCGGGAAAATTTCCAATTCTTCAATGATGATCCTAATTTAGGCTCTTACACGAAACTATTTACACTAGTTGTAGATAGGACCTACAAAAATCTCAACGAAACCTACCAAACGGAGACTCCATCCACCATGTCAACTTCGCTGTCAAAACTGGACAAAATCAACAAATTCACCATAAGTTTACCTAAAGTAATACTGAGAAGCGTCCAAGGCGAGAAGCTTTGAAAGAACAAATTTGTTTTCACACAAGAAAAATCAAGACTCTAGTTTATGAATAACTTATTCCTCTGGAGCATACAAAGGAGTTGCGAGCAAACTGAGATAGCAAAGGCTAAGCCAATGCAGATGCCTCTTATCACAGGGATCTTGTGACCCAGCATATACGCAGTCAACATTTCCGTAACGACAATTTCGTTGTGGGGGCTAAGGCGATGAAACGTGCATATTTGGCAACGTATTAGGTATGAGGAAAATCATGCATGGACTTCAAGATTGTCAACCGCCTTCCACGAATTTACCAATTCCTTAACCATTGAAATTGCAAGTACTCTAAGAAATATTTTCAATAACCGAATTAACACGAACATCAAACAAGAATACTTCAGATCCGAAGACGAAGCATACAAACGTAACTTTGAAAAACAAGTTATAAAATTGCCAGGAGGGCGCATTTTACGAACGCAGCGATACAAGTTAACGCATTCCTAAAACATTCCTTCCTAGACATGAGCTCGTTAGAGCCAAAATTTTCTTGCGCTCGCAAGAACTACCGATTAAAACTGCTCATTTATTTCCATGACAGCTAAAATTGAATTTCAAATTTTGGGAAATTGGCCGATGTTAAAATTTTGGTATATGTAGCACGTAAGACTGCAGATGCGGCAGCTCACAAGTCGAGGAAGTCTTTGCAGAGTGACTCCCTGGCGCTACAGCAATTCTTCCTGATGTATCTGTGGCCACAGTACCTTGAGCCGTACGATTTCAAAAACTCTCTGCAGGTCAGGCTGCCCGCTATGTTGGCAATCCTGTCGTGACACTCACCGTCTGAAAGAGAACCATAGTTACAAGACTAACACTTACGTTGATGCAATCATAATTCTTGTCAACTGTTCAATGTATCAAACGTTATGCAACAACCCTCTATCTTAAAGAATTATTAACCGACTGTATTGCTGGTGAGCTTCTGTTACAGTTTGTAGGCATGCTATATTAATCTGAAGTTATAGGTTCAAGAATTTGGTAGTGAATCGATGTCATTCACGTAACATAATAGCTGCACAGATATAAAATTTATCAATCAAGAAAAAGTACACACCCCAGGAATCCTCAGATAAAATACAGCATGCAGAAGGGAGTTCCATTAGTCAATGGAAAACATAAATAAATCAACAAATACGTACACAAACAATGTCTATGAATTCGAACCGTCAACCACCTTCGCCACAATCCAGCGATCGAACCGGCCTGTTCCAGTCACTCCAATCTTATACGTGCTTAAAAATTCACAAAATTACAGCCTATTTCAGCATCACTTTTAGTTCCGCAATCCCTCCCCCATTTCCCACCGAGAGCCGAGTCATACCAGCCTCCATCAAAATAGCTCATGCAGTCAATTCAAGAAAATTCGAAACATGCTGAAGTTTGTTATAAATCACTAAAAAGGGTGAGAAAATAAATCATCTATTGCAATTCCTACATAAAATTATTTGCAATCTGCAAAAGCGACAAATAAAATTAGTTTAAAACCGCCAATCATCTTCGCAAAAGAGTGATGTGCTAATCTCTTACAAGATGCATGCAATGAAGAATTGAGTTGAAGCAAGGTTAAATTGGCCCGTGTCTAGGTGGTTGCGACAAAACTAATGATCTCTAAGCTTTTCATGCACTTACGTGATAGTTATTAATATTCCCACGACCTTCTACCCCATCAAGTCAATTAAACCTCCCTCCCCTTTTATTTCAGCATTCTCCAATTGAGGTCAAAAATTCTGTGCAACAGAAATTCAATTTAATAAAATAATGTCTGTTAGATGCAATATACAGGAAGGTGACCTCGTAGTTCTTTGTTGAAAATATCTGTAAAAGCATGAAGCCAACTGGCTTCAGGTTAGTGCTCCTGCGAAAAAAGAATGTTAAACAGAATGTGTGTCAAGGTTCTGGATCTGTGTGAAGAGTGACAGAAAACTGAAGATATGCGGATTCGGTGCGCACATGTGGTCTCACCAGTATAATCTAAATTATTATTGCTGATATTGATCAAATGATTAGGGGTAGTGCTAGTAGATATTGAGGTACGCCTTGAGGTAGTGCTTGTTGACGTCGTGGTGCGATGGGTTGTCTTCGGTCTCGCTGGTAATCTAAAGGCAGGTGACGGTAAATGGTTAAACGACAACTCTTGGGCATTCGCAAGCGACTATACTCCTCGATAATTCTTTATTAACAAAGCTGATTGAGCAGCTGTTATGCCGATGAAATCACGGGATTTCAATGAACAGCAGTTCATCCTAGATTCGTAATGGAATCAATACGGGAGCTTAGCACTACCATTTCCATTTCGAAGTTCCAATGATCAAGAACCTCACCTGGTCGTCCTACTAGTCGTGGATGTGGGTGTGGTTGATTTAACAGTTACTGGGGTAGTGGTTGTTTGAGGAGTAGTGGTTGTTGTAGTAGTGGTGGTGGAGGTGGTAGTAGTAGTAGTGGTGGTGGTAGTGGTTGGTGCAGTGGGTGGAGGGGTGCTAGAAGTTGGAACAGTAGTTTCAGTAGTAGGGTTAGAAGTAGGAGCCTTCACAGGCTTCTGCGTTTCTGAGCTGAAGAGAAAACTGTGCATTAGAAAATTATTTACAAAAAGAGGTTAACTATGATAAGTTTACAGGATAGCTCATACGTACAAATATGTACAAAATTGACCACCATCATCGTACAGTGCACGTGTGAAGATAGTGAAAATCGTTATGAAATCACGTTGAACTCCTTGGTGCCACTGCGAAATTTCACAGTGGCACAGTTTACGTTGCCACAGGCACTACAAGTGCCACTGAAGTTTCATCAATTACTCCCACATTTAAAATACGCTCGTCACGATAAACTACGACCAGAAAATTTTCCAACATATGCTGACGAGGCCCACAGATCACTGCACTACTGTCAATACGTTTAAACCCTTAAGTGATGTCATGAAAATTTAAGAGAGGATCGTAGATCCTACTACTGGTCAAACCACAGGTCCCACGACAGTTATTAAATCGAGTACCCGAGGAAGTCGTGATCAGATATGGTGTTTTCGTTGTCATACACGCAACGGCCGTTCAAGCAGATTTTTCCTCCACCGCAATCTGAACCTTCGGCGGCTGGACGATACGAGACGCAATAGCCACTCGACGAATCGAAGCAGAACAGCTGAGCACAAACTCTCTCATCCTTCTGCTCAAAAGTATAGGTACGATTCAATAACTCTTTAGGTATAACATTTGATAGCTTATTTATTCAAGTTCCAAAAGGTCATTAGCCTCGTAAGAAAAACGAGTCTTATTCCGCCAACTCAGAATGGCTTCAGGATTAAGTAGAAATTCAATTTTAACCTAACTACTAAATCCCACAAAGGATCAATTGGAGAAAATATGATTACTTACGAAGCAAGCTGACGTCCCTCTATCCTTGCGACACTGCTGGTCCAGGGATAGAAGTTTGCCAGGCAAAATCCGTGGTAGAGATTCGTCTTCATGTGGAAGATTATATAGACAGGTTGCTGTGTCTCCGCTGGGAACAAGTACAAAGATTACATTTTTAATTTGACGTACAAAAACATGTGCATGGTTTATAGTTTCAATGGTTTCACAAGATGACGCCGCTTGCACATGTAATTTGTGAAAATTACTTCGTCTTCAGTAACATTTCAAAACATCATTTTGCTTTCCTGAAATGCCACTTAAAACCATTCAAAATAAATACTTCGATTCGGATATAGGACCGGTTATCTTAGTACGAGAGACTAGTTCCTTCAAGTAGCTCGTTCAAGTTACCCCTCAAACTCGAGGGTCAAGTTACCAACAAGTAAGAGCAAAGCTTTTGATCTATTAATAAAAATAATTTCAAGCTCAAACTTTACTTCAAAAAATGATGAAACTGTTCTACGGAGCAACGAGACCATCGGAAGCCCTTTTCGGTGTGACGGAGGTCACTCATGATGTAGCCGTCCTCCCAACGGCAGTGCTTAGCTCCAGGGCCCCCTAGGTAGGATGGGGGAGGAGCTCCATCGTGCACAGCACCAAGTCTGCTCGATAAATTCAATAATTGAGTTTACATTCATATTCATCTAATCTCTGTTAGTAGTGCTTATATTCCAAAATCTGTCAGAATTCGATTCGGCATGCGTTGCAGCAAGATATTATCAGCGTGTTGACCAGTTCAACGTAAGAAAAATCCAAATCCCGATCACACTAGAAACAAATTTTCATAAAATTTACTGCTTCTCAGAAAATATCAAGAATCATATTTACAACCTCTCTAAAAAATCCCACTTTCCGCGAGATTAAGAAACCATGTAACCATTATTTTCATCACTGGACTATTTTAGCTGCCATTGGTGTGATCTGATTTAGGTTGAAACTATTTGAAACTAACTGCGGATATTCTTTTATTGAAATGAACAGCAACTTACAAGTGACCAACTTCGTGCGCAGCCACAATGATCCCAGAAAATCCACCGGTATCTTCCACGATAGCCACCGAGTTGACCTTCTTGAGTCTCTTATTCACCACGCACGCTCCACCGACGTATGCAAACCCTACAGAAACGCGTCATTGAGGGCGAGTGATCGTTAAGCCAGAATTATGCAATATGCACACTTTGAATGAAAGTATCCTAGTCTCATCTCGTATCCAACAAAGAACTAAAGAAAATGGAAGGAGTTTATGACAGAACATTACAGAAGAAAAAATATTGCAAGGTACAGCTTTATATACAAATTAGAGTAACACGTCGCACATCACCGTGCAGGGGAGATTTAGTACACGAGACGTTTAAATGATATGGATTGAGGTGCCAGAGTTTAGTTTGAAAGCATTTCAGCGCATACTAGGGAATAGTGCTCGATTCATGCACACAATAGTGATAATGGTGAGAGGAATCTAGATAGTTACCAAGGACTTGTGCGAATGCGTCTTGCAGTGCTCATTAAGTCTTGCAAGGCAAGACTGATGAGGATGCGTGTGCGCGTTCCCTACAAGTTCTCAAACTGACTCTTAAACTAATGGATAGTGCAAGCATACCACAATTCAGATTGTGATCACTAATTTCGTTCAGTTTAATATGCGTCTGTATTGATTAATAGAAGTATTCTATTTTCTACTGGTTCACGATAACGAAAAATAGTATCAAGAAGGTACACGAACCACACCACAAGTCCACAAGCACCCACTAGTTAGTGAAAACCCAAGTATCCCGAACTAGTCGATGCCGATGCCGATCTTACCTCTGAATGTCGGCTCCAGACCAGTAACGGATGACATTAATCAATTCTTTAAATGAAATTTTAAATTAAAACAGAAGCGTGAAAAAGTCCAAATGCGTCCATGGCTTTCAAAGCCTTTAAATGTAGTCCCGAGAAACATGCTCCAGTCATAGTCTTGGTCTAGAAGGCGGGTTTACGTTTTTCAAATAAGTCAGTAGTCCATTCAACATAGGGGTCATAAGTTTATTGAAGAAAATGTATAAATGGCAGTAGCTTTAATTTATGTTCCCAGTGCGTCCATACTTTATATATGGTGAGTTCCAACGAAATAAGGTTTTTCAATAAAAAAAACTATGTTTTACAAAGTTTTGAATTCTACAGCTACTCTCCTATAATGTCACCATCTAGACGACAAGAAACTGCAAGTAATAATAACTGTCTCTGATGAAAATAACTTTGTTTACCTGCTGTTCCTCGATTGCAGTTGCCACCCTCATAAGCTCGCCTGCACATATCTAACCTGGAATAAAAGTTTCAAGTTTTTCAAAAACGCATTAAACTGTGCAAGTGAGATGAATCGAGGAGATGGACATAGTTCCTCTCGCTGACTGATGTTGCGTCAAGCGGTCGGGCGGTTAGGTCACGAACTAAGAGAACCAACACACAATGCATCAATAGAAGTATACTCACTCGAAGCCGTTCCAATTCAGAATGATAGACGTCGAGTCTACTTGAATATGGCACGGAATGACACGGGCCAGACTGACAATGAGAGAAATTTCCCAGACACCAATTGCATCTATGAAATGGCATCGAAGCTCCTGTTAACTTCAGAGAAAAAAATGTATTCAAGCTGTACAAATTTGACAGCATCGAAAGTATAAGTGGAGATTAAAGTTGAGAGTAAAATGCTTAGAGGCTGTAAACTTTGCACCCAATACCAGTTGACCTAAGAATTAAAGTTCAAGAACAGTGTGGAGTTAGAATGGTATCATGCTCGGGAGGTTTGCTGGAAGCTGAAATGCAATGAGGACTGGGTTGGCATTCTCGAGTGATGGCTTGACATACCGGCAGTGCCTGTTGTGCACCGGCCACTCTTTCTGCGACGACACAAATCGTACCTGTTCGAATGATTAAACGGCGAAACCATGAAACACGGCTCTTAAAAAAATAACAATTTTAATTCATATTAAAAAAATTTGCGTCTTGTACCACCGATAGTTTCACACGAGGGTTAGTTGGATTAGACTTCATAAAAAAATCGTGTGATTCATCGAGGACTAAATCAACTATGTAATAATGTAATATATGTATACACATCAGCATTTTCAACTGTCATTGGGGGAGATAATATTCTGGCGGTTGCTTATAACTAGATGATAGTTGGGATTTCTGAATTTTGAAATCGACAAATCTTGGAAAAAATTTATTTGAGAAGGATACTGTTGAACAGAATGCTCACTTGGTGATAGCGACGGCGATATCGTACGTGGGCAGCCTGCGCTCTTGGAACAGATATTTGCCCATGTCTGTGAGCGCACTTGCCGAGTCGATAGCATCTCTGTCGACTCGGTTGCGTTCCAGGTAAGGCATTGCATCCCGACTCTGCCAATTTTAAAAGATCCCCGAAGGCAGGCATTTTGATTACGCAAGGGCAAGTTTATGAAATGTAATGAAATTAATTTAATCGAAAAATAAATCAAATCCTCGCACGGACAAGTCTACTGTGTATAAGCTCCTACATAATCTATATGTAATATGAATGAGATCAATTTAGAACAAGTTGAATTTATTTATGGGGGTCATTGAGGGTCAAGAAAATTTCGAATTATTTGTTTACTGGGCATTACGAAAATGGAAACCCAGGAAATAGTTTTTTATACTTTTGCTTTATGCACAGAGGAACTCACCCGTGAAATTATGATACCAGCGATCGATATTTTCACTTTAGGATCTCTCAGGAGTTTGTAACGTAAATCAGCGCCGTTCCAAAAGCTGACGTAGTAGCTTTTGATTTTAGAGTTATCCTGACCGTGTAATCTGAAATTCATTAGAAAATTACAAAATATGAACAAGATTTAAGCGGTTAAATGTGAAGCCCAACTGCCCAAGGCGTTTTAATACAATGACCCGAATTTCCCCAAGGAGGTCTTTCTCTCCCGCTGACGTAGTTCCGTAAAATTTTCCTATAATTCGTTCAGTCCTAATTAACACTATGAAAATAATGCTCAGCAAAATTTCACTTCCATGTTCCACAAACCTGAACGGACTAGTATAAATTTATCAAGCACTCACAAATAACCATCGTAGTCCACTAAAACTAAAATTTCAGGGTAGATAACAGCGGGAGCAGCTCGCTTGTTACGATGGCGAGCGTTTGGACTTCTAGCTGGGATGTGATCAGGATCCATCTCCGCTGCAATAAAATTTGCTTTTTGTTATTCAAATCTGCTTCCTCAGAACTAACTGCGCGAAAGCTTACGGATGGGAAATAAGAATTCAAATGCACATAACCACAGTGAATGTAGGAAAACAAATGTGAAATCTGGACAGACTAATCCAAATGATCTTTATTCGTCAAATCTTCTGAACTCACGACCGATTCCAATTACTGATAAGCGATAATCTAAATTGCACGTTAAAAAATATATACAAGTAGCAAACGCAAAAAAATAAAGGCAAAAATGAAAAATGTCAAGGTAGTTGTTGGTACCACTAGCTTTTCAAAGATTACCATAATCAGTCGAGAGCGCCTTGTGTTTCCTTTTATAAACAATGTGAACGGCACCAGTGGTTGCAGCCGCTCGTTTCTTCCTGACGAGTTCTAAGCCTTCTGGCAATTTTTTGTCTTCTACTGGCCGTTCTGTAGATTTCCTGGAATTACGAAACCTAACTTTAAATTTCAGTCATGGTTTATTGATGCATCGAGGTTAAACTTCATTTCCAATGCAGAAAAGCGTCCTTGTCCTACATTAAAGCGAGTCTTGCCAAACAAAACAACCAGCATTAGGAATCCACACACGTCTAATATTTACAGCGAAATGAACCTCTCACCAACATAGCCACTCACTCGTAGGGCACCCTAATGTGTGTCGGCTGCCCCGATTTTGTGCCATCATCAGCGACGAGAGGAAAACCATCACTGAATACCAAGTCTCCCGCTTGAAGATTTTCTTTAGCTTCGTCTAAAAAGGCTTCATCGTCGGGTGGTCTAATGGCATTTAGGTCCTGCTCCTCTTCTCGTCGCCACTGTTGACCGGCTGCTTGCTGAGACTTAGCTTCTATTACGTCCAGTACCGAGCGGGGCACTGGCCGAACCACAAGGTCGTCCCCAACGGTGCCGTCCTGGCATATGCGAGTTACGAAATTACGTTAGAATAACTTTGTATAAATTGTTATTAGTGATCGGCTCCTGATTTCCCTACAAGGCAGGGAACTAAAATCTGGTCAAATCCAACCCTTTATGCATCTTAAATCTCATCATGCAGAGAATGGTGCACTTGTGTAAAAGCGTTCAGGTGAAGCACCTTTGTAGTATTGTGATTTTGAACAGATAACTCAAGCTGTAAGAACTTTCTTTCAGCAGAAAGTAAAACGCCAACGAAAGGCAATGGGTGCTTTAACGCTGCTCGACGACTTCCTAGGAGTATTACTTGGACACAGAATCTACACTGCAAACGCGTAATGGGAAAATAATTAGTGATCGAACTCACCACAAGCACCTCCCCTGTTTCTGGGTCCTTCGTCAGCATAACAGCCGCCAAGGTCTCCTCATCTTGGTATGGTGTACCGATGGAATCCACCTGATGGCAGCAGAATTGATTCTCGTCAATATAAACTTGCAGCCAAATTAGCTTTTCACATCTACTCCACTCGCACTACGAGCATTTGGTCTATGCTTTAGCAGTTGCGCACTGCTGCGTAGGGTAAATGCACCCGCACGAGGGTGAGGTCACAGGGCAGGACCATTGAAAACTTTAAAAGTATGCATCATGAAAAATTTTCTACTCTTTACAGCTCCTCAATTACATAAATTTCAGTTCAAATTGGGCTGAAAAAATGAAGCTTAAAGCTAACTAGACGAGATCCGTACCGAAGCTGCTGGTTTCAAGACCACTCTCCCTTCCCGAGGGTCGTGATCGGCGAAGAAAACTGGCACATTTCGCGCAAGATCTTCGTTCGGTCGAAGGTTCAAGACCCTCTCCTTGTCAAAGGCGTTCAAGTGGACTACTCTAACATGGTCAGTGTCGTTCGCGCCTCTTCTTACGCGCGAATGTAACTTGATAACTTCGTATGCAGGAACTGTACGCAGATACAAAAAAGGAATTCGTTAGACAGTAGTATCTACTAATATCCAATGTTAAAGATGCGAAGCTTAATCCTTATATATGACCACTTGATAAGGCACTGAAATTACAGGTTAAACAATAATTCAAAAGCCGATAAAAGACGAGGCTCAACTTTCACAAGCTCACAACACAAGGCGAAATTTTCAGTTCTTCCCACTCCATCGGCTAGCAAAGGTTCCACGACGAATCTTGTTCGCGCGAAAATTTCAATGTGATAATTAAAAAAAAAAAGAGAAAGTTACCATATCAGTAAAAAAATCTGATCGGTGGCTACCATTAGAAAGCCTCCAGGAACACGAGGATCAATAGAATAAGGGTGATTTTGCACGGGAGAAAATAAGTCGAGTAATATAGGGTAGAAGTAGTGAACAGATTCATCACATTAATTATGGCTTTCTACAGTTAACATAGGTTGGCATCCCCCTAGGTTATATCTAGTCGCTAGATTTATTATACCTGTATCCTCGAAGTTTCAAGAGTGTTGATGTTTGTCGCTCAACTTAATGAAAATATCCATTTCTTCGCCTCTGTTCTACACATTAAGGTTGTTTGCGAACAAACAATCTAATGATCAAGTCCAATAGTAAGTACTTGCAGTACACTTCTAATGTCTTGCAAAATTTTAGTAAATATAAAAGCGATCATGGATACAATATGGATACGTTTTTCTTTCAGTTATTAAAAACCCGAAATTGGCAACTTTAAAATGTTATCCGCAACCTGTTTTATAGCCAAATTGCATCAGTGTTGAATCCATCGTTACAGTGCTACAATAATCAACAAGTAGTGAGGGTTCTCTATGAAGGTCAGCTAGCAAGTTCTGGCGAAGAAAATGGTACATTACAGAAAATGAGAAGCATCAGAGACCGCTACCGCGAACCATCTTCGACAGTCACGCGCAGCGGTTGCGCATTCGAATACCACTCAGTGACAAATAGGGTCACGCGCAAAAAGCATTGCGCGAGATTAGTGACCAGTGGTCACGTATGCGACCTGAGCAGTCAGTATTTGTACTGCTCAGTATGTATAGTGTTCAATAGTATACACTGCGCAGTTTTTCAAGGCTACGAAGATAGAAGAGAACTGAACGAGTGAGTCTTAAGAGATGTGTGGGCAAAAAAAATTCACCTCTTTGAGAAAAAATCGAAACGTTTACAGTTATTCCTCATTAAAAATATATAGACATAATAATGACTACATAAGAAACATCAAATACACAATAGTTGAAATTTGAATCAAAATTCTTAACAGTCACGTCCACTTCTCATTAACTCACCTAGATCATGTGAATCTACGTGAAAGATGGACAGGAGCTCTTCAGGACTCATCGACTCGTGGATCTGGTGAAGAGATGAACTGTTATTAATCATTTCCAGAAACCGTCAACAAGCTTAATCATCTGCAAATCATTCCAACATCAAAAACAGAGCTGATTGCCTTAGCTGATCGACAAACCATGTCTTCTATTAAGCTGAATTTGCGAACGTAATTAACTTCCCAAGTCCACGATAACTCGTGGTTTTCAAAATTATATCTTGCACCGTCTTAGTTTGTTGCATAATGCTTTAATGGCCTAGAGAACTTCGGTTACTGAAAGGAATACCTTCATAATAAAAAGGCGCAAGTCCGGGTCGGATAGCTGAGAATGAGATTTCGTGTCGTCTGAGTGCTGCGCAATGAACTAGCCTTTTGTCAGGCTACTTCCATCATGGACCTCAAAGTACATATCCGATGTAGGAAATTGGGTTTCACCGATTAAAAAGCATCTATAGTTTATAGGAAGTACAATAAGCGGAAAAAATTCAGTGACAAAATAGCAAATACCACAGCCTATCTTCTAGACGCCAAATCTACGAGCTATGGAGAAGGAAACTTTGGATTATCCAATGACAAATTGTGCTCAATCGAGATTTTGAAAGGACTTGCTTCACGCGCCGGCTAACTGTACTCCCAACTTCGGTGATCATGTAAAGATCATAATTTAACAAAATCAGCCCTCTGTGCGTCTGAAAATCTTCAGAGATTATGAAGAGGCTGTCAATCGAGGGCAATAATTGGTCAGCTCAATAGGAGACTGCAGCATGCTCGATGCCCGAGCCTGCTGTATTAGCAGTTTTAATTTTGAAGTTTGAACGACTTCTAAAAAAATGTTTCCCTCCCCCCTGCGCCAAACTGCCATGACGATCATCAAAAACTGTCACCCCCAAGCGCTGCCATAGCAATCTTGGCACATTCGCCATGTGCCGCGGTCGGAGCAGCACCACTTTCCCTTGGCTCTCGAAATTACCAACTTTCCCAGCTCTGCAGTCGTGCCACTGAAATGAAAAGTGGGCCTAGCAATGACTGCATCGCTCTGGTGTAGCAGAATTCGCAGTATTCTACAGTGGCTCCCTAAGCGTGATGGGCGACGCATTACATTCCCACTATGTTCTCGCATGGGGCTATTTTTCAAGTTGCCGTGGGTTTCCTGGCAGCTGCTTCGAATTCTAAATAACTTATTCGAGGAACATCAATAAAAATCACTGCCGGCAGTTACGCCAAACCAATCCAACTATTTTCGATGAAATTTCATTTTTCAGTTATGTAGCAGTGAAAACACTTCCATTGTAACTGGCCATCAAATTCTATGTATCATATATCTTAAAACGCTGAAACGACCAAGTTCAAAAGATCATTTTCCTGTCTATAAGAAGGAATATTTCCAGGTGTAATATAATTTTGCAAGTCGGAAATGTTTCTATCTTCAATTTCTTGAGAGGGAATTAGCACGTAACATGAAACACTGACATTCGAAGGCCATTTTAGCAAAAAGTGGTTTCATTTGCAGTGCATCGAAGTCCTTCATAGCCGAAGTCGAAATTCAGCAACTATGAAATAAAATATATCACAAATAACAGAGGTTTCCCGTACAAAATGCGATCCATTCGTTAACCACAGTAAATGACGCTCTTCTTTAGCCGTGATATCGTTATAGAGGTTCAAGGTTGGGCGGCAAGTCCGAAGGGTAGTGCCAACACGAATGGTCGTGACCAACTTAAAGAAAAATTTAACGAGCTCTACATGGCAATATAACGAGTGGAACTAAGGCATGTAGCCTTGGCAGTGATCGTCGAAGGCGTTACTACAGATGTCGAAGATTAGTCGTCATTGGCTAAGGTGAGCTCCTCTGTAAACAATGTCAGATTTACAATAACTTCAAATTGCGCCTGATCGACAAGATTAACTACTTATTCAGCAACAAGAAGTCATTGCCATTCACCGGTCGATCTCAAAAATTTATACGATTTTATCAATACACTTACAGTAAATTAGGATAATTTTTCTCAAATTAAGTAATTTTGTGCCGCAAATAAAATCCCGTGAACACCACATCTGATCATCTAAGCACGAAACCATTGGAAAAATAATAACAGATTGGGCCAGGAACTGGTTCGTTGAAAAACAGGCTTGCAGTTCGCGACGCTCGTTATGGAAGCGCACCACACAAGGTCGTTCGTAATCGCCACACGCGTAATGTCATGGATCGCGCCGTGCATCGTCGGACATGATGGCCGACCGAGAATGCACGAAACCGCAAACTTGGCCACTATTCTATCCTCCCTAGGAACGGCTCTTCACCAAATTTATATGCTTCTGTAATGCGATCTTCAGTCTTTTATTCTCCTTCCATTCCTTCGGTCAACGATACTTCCGACTTCGAGGAGCACTCTAGCTTCTGCGAGCTCACTATTTAAAGTTAGCTACCAACTCTTCTTAGTCCCTTCGTATTATGGGTGTGTACTTAGGAATAGCCTAACAAAATTAGTTCACGTCTATAGTCAAGTAAACAATCGTCGATAAATATAAATTTAAATCTACTGTATTGTTGAAAGTTCTAACAATACAATACTGCAGTTCGTTTACAAAATTACTGACCTCTTAGAATTCGATGAAAAATAGGTGCTAAGGATTATATTCTTTGCAGATTTCCTAGACTGAAACTTTTTGAAAATTAAGCACGTTATCTTCAGTTTTTTTTTTTTTGCTAATTTCCCCCCCTACATTGGGATAATCGGCGTGTCAATATGAAATATACGATTACAAATCAGTGACTAAAGATGCGATGAAAAATCTGTTCGTCGGCTTCAACAATCGGAGAGGCAGGGAAAAGATTTGATCTCGGAGCAAAAATAGGAGTGCGACTTTCTGTCGGAGTCATTAGCACGAGCAATCAAATTCGCAGTTTGTTGGCTAGTAATTTCTCCATCTAAGATCGGCAATCGGCACGACACGTCTCCAATTATCTTTAACCATAGGAAAAAACTCAAATGAAATTATTCCAATTAGGAACGAAAAACCCCTACGCTTATTCCAAATATTTTTTTATGCTGGCTAAGGCAGATTTTTTTCGTACTAAGCCATATGGCGCATCTTTCACTTTCGTTTTTGAGCGGCTCTCGGGTAACCAAATAAAGCTCTTCACGGAGCTTTCCCGAGTTAGGACGATTTTACGCTCGCGGTGCTGAGAGGCTTTCCGTGATGGAAATGGTGACTCATTGCGTGAGAAATGCATTATCACTTCGCAGAATAATGAACTACTAGTAGATTCTGTTCACTGGTAAACAAACTAGCAGCCAGGAAAGCTCATGACAAGTATTTCTAAAGTGGTTCCTAATTACATCTTCAAATATCGTAACTATAAACGTAAATTTCATTATGACTGCATTTTCAGATTCTTCACACTTCAGAATATTGCCAACAGGAAAATTTTGGGAAAAGCAAGACACAATGTTCTCATGTATGACCAAGTTCTCAATTTTTGCAGGTTCAACGACTCGCAATTTATTAAACTTCACAGCTTATTGGATGAAGATTTCTAATTCAGAGTTTCCTTCAGAGTAAAAAGATTCCTGGTTCCACCGATGGTATAGTTGATCAACAAGAGACAGCAATCGTGTTGTAGATCCTACAATAGAAGCAACACATGCACAGAACAGGTTTATATCATTATATGCGCCCTGCCGAGAAATACAGCAGATCGATAACGAAAATCAAAATTCCTGAAATTCACGAAAACTTCAGCGCATAATAATTAGTAAAGGATGAAAGTGAAATCTAAGATGAAGCAGCTGCCACCAGTTAAATGCTTAAAAATTGTCAAATTCCTACGACGGCAAACCAAGGTCAACCTCTAGATCGAAATTCTCAAATATGTTGGCCTCTCCCTTGGCCCAGTAACCCTGAAAGTCTAATTGCAGGCTTCAAAATAGACTCTGCTCAGCGTCGATGTCTCGAAATTAGAGGTACAGATGACACTATTTCACAATTTGCTGAATTGTGATTTACGCCTGGACATGAATTGGATTTAATATCGGTAGGAATTACCAACTAATCTCTGAAGAAGCTTGGCAATTTCCTATATATTTGCCTATTGCGATCCGAGGATTCGATTGCTTTCTATCCCTAACTTACACTAAACACCGTCAGGAGAACTTGTGATACAAGTCGTCACTTTGTGATTCGACGCATCACTCGACAATATTGACCAAAAGCTGTCAGATTGATTTCCGCAGCTTTGTTTTGAGTTGGCAGCTTCACCAACTCAAATCGCACTCGCTATTAATTTGCCTACACACGGATGAATTTTATAAAATACATGACGCAAATCAAACTTGACTTAGTTTATTTGAAGACCTATTGCTGAAAGTATCCATTGTTCGACTCTTCAGTTCTTTGCCTACTTGGTACTCACCGTGGTTTCCCGAATTGTTGTTGCTGTAGCCATTGTGACCGCCCCGATGACCAAAAGCCATAAGAGGGATCCATGGTTCTTCATTGTGCTGGAACAAAAGTGAAGTTCATAATTTTTCAGACTGTTAGCCTAGTGCACAACACTAGTCAAAGGATGACTAATTCTGAACAATCTAGTAATTCTATGCTTCGATTTCATCAAATGCAGAACTAACATAGTAAATTGCATTATAAAGTCGTGTTTCCTAATGAGCTGCTCTCTCAAACCAACTTTCTAGAGCCACGTAGAGTATCAAATTCATGATAAATTAATAATCAATTGCCGAAAAATAGGTATTACTTTAGATTAAGTGGATCCAGAAAAGCATGTTTTCTTCAACTTCATGTTTTTTGGGGTGTAGATTAAGAATCTGATATCCGTTTTTGGCGGTCGGCATCGGAAAACCGATTTTTTTCGGCTTTTTATATATTTTCTATAGAACACGACAATGGGGGACCCGTGGGGAACCGGGGGTTTTGGGGGGGGACACGTTCGAGGCTGTAATTCATCAAAGAAATCGGGCAAAAATCGGCAAAATAGGCGAGAAATTGGAAAGAGTCTGAAAATTCTTCTTGACTGGAAATGATCTATATCGATCTGGGAATGACTGAAGTGTAAACCTATGTAAAACCCAAAAATCACGCTAGGTTAGGTTAGGTAAGGTTAGGATTACTGTCATTCCCAGTACGATACAGATCATTTCCAGTCAAAAAATTTCCGATTTTTCGCCGATTTTGCCGATTTTTGCCAGATTTTTTTTTTTCGACGAATTAGAGCCTGGGGCGTGTCGCCCCCCCTAAAACCCCCGGTTCCCCACGAGTCCCCCATTGCCGTTTATAGAAAATATAAAAAAAAATCGGTTTTCCGATGCCGACCGCCAAAAACGGATTTCAGATTATCTACACCAAAAAAAAAAAAACAATTAAAAAACGCCCTTATTTTGGATGCACTCAACCCAAAGTTTTACCGAAAAATAATTTATCAAGAAAAACTACGAGAGAATCTAGCTAAGTTATGAAGCTGCAACGCATACCTAACACTTTCCAGTTTCATTGGACCTTAATTGAACGATTTCGTCAACTATCTTGTCAATCACGAAGCACTACCCGTCAACCTAATCTCTCAGACTAAAATCTCGGTTTCTACGATGAATTATTAGGATATTTTCGAATTTATCTAACGATAAACAAGTCTCGTAACGACAGGATGTGATAGACGGCGTGGACAGATGCAGGATAAGACTCATTACCAACATTTTAACTAGCACCTAGTTAGGATATTGCCCGCGGAACGTAATGACGAACGTGCATCTAAATCGACAATCTTGAGATAACAGGGAGCCACTGGACCACAGCCGACGGTCTGTATGCATCCACTGATGACCCTTCGATTCAATCCTAACAATCCACGTCACGTATCTTCAGGGTTCAACAGTTATCTAAACAATTTAATATTAAATTTTATCGTGAAGAACTGATCAAATCAAGTTACAGATCTTACGATCTAACGAGAAGACCTGCAATTTAACATACGAGGTCTTCCATGAGCCATTATCAAGGTCCGTCTAGCAGGCAATCAACAGCACAATGCAAGAACTACCGGAAGACACCGCAGGAGCAATCACCTTCCCAGGACGGCTCAAAGAAAGGCAAGCTCTTCGCATCGATACTGCGATGACGAGACACGCCAATCATTTCCGGGGAATAGGCTCTTGCACTTAAGGAATAGCCCAACAAGTATAGGCTACAGTTTGTACAACAAAATTAAAGCTATATCATCGCTAGCTAGTCATATCAATAAATTTGTCACGGTATCCAATTCTCAAGAGGACTTTGGCACACGTCCAGGTAACTTATAAATTTCAAATAGAGTGCAATAATAGAAATTCTTAAAATTTCTATTACTGTTCTCTGAATTCAACTTTTATTTTTCGTTTAGAATGCAACTTCCCAGTCAACTCACCGCAAATCCAGTTTTATCATAACGCTCGGTTCGTCGACGCCATCACACCGAGAACCTGACCCCCTAACAGGGATACCGAACTGATCCTTATTTCTCGATCCTACAACACTGTATCCCTACTGTGGACGAAAGGCGTTTAATTATAGTAGTGCCAGAGACAATCGTTATTAAAGTAGATGATGAGCCTCGTAATTTAACCAACCGATTTCGGGTAGCATTGCACATATAATAAAGTTCTTACGTATAAAAAAGACAAGTATTGGATTTAACTTCTCAAACCTACTCGAAAACCAGTGTACCACTGTACCTACAACCATCATAAACTATTTCAAGAGTCTACTCTGCACTTAGGTGTACTTAGTCTCGCACACAATCACCAACATCTTACAACCGTAACCACACGCGCGGATGTTACATCTGCACAGCACTGCTATGCGTCAAAATAGACGATATGTGTCCGGTACTCCGCAAGTCAGGTTGCTCTAGGCAGAAATACAATCAAGAAGTGCACACTAGAATAAAAAATGATAACTTGTGCGAGGAATTGTGAAGTGTACCATTTCGACCCTCTATGGAATTGGTAATTGTTAGAAAAAACTTATTATTCATTTTATTCGATGGGTTTGTTCCGTAAACTGGATAAACCTTGACTACAGAATAAACCATGTTTAAACAACATAGTTAAACCATGCTTACAATTATTGTAATTTACTACTATTATTCATTTGAGTGCTTCCGCAGAACAATTTTTACCTTCTATTCCTCTAAAATTGAACGAAATCAAACCTGATATTTACACGGTCGTTGCAGTGTATACAAATACCTGACTTTGTTTACAGTGATCAGTCATTAAAATTTACCATTCCACTATTTTTATTGAAACAAAAACTCGTTGCCGTATAATTGACTTAAAAACACATTTATAATTTCATGTTTCAGTGTAAAAGAAGTTTCTGGATCTAAAGCAAGCTTGAATTTCAGACCTTGTCATGACCGCATGAGCGGCCGTATAAAAGTCTACGGAATGATTTTGAAATTAATATCCTAGGAAATACGATCTATTTTCACTAAAATCGCTAAAAGATTATTAAAGCAACTGGAAAATACGAAGCCACATCAAGAAAATGTCGACATATCCGTTAAAATGAACGTAGACGCAAAATACAACAAGGAAAGCATCTTGCAAGTTTTGAAGAAATAAATCGCGTTTCCGCAACGGCACGCAAACATCTCGCTACGTGTTCGGGGACACTTCGCTCAAACATCCTGGTTCACTACTGGACATTTTGCAGCCTGCGCATATGTTCATAACCGAAGAGAACGCCATTGGCCATGAATGCATCAACCTTCCGAGGCCAAAGGAGAGATTGGAAGGTGATTCAAAGTAAGCTGAAACACCATCAAATAAAATAAGGCATTACAGCTGGAGGCATCCTTTTTTGCGCACACAACGACTATCTGCTTATTTTATTTCGAGGTTCTATTTTTAATCTAGAATATTAAAAGGAGATTCAATATCTTTAAGTGCATGGGAAATGGTTTTAACAAAATCCGTAGGGAATCTTCAGATTATATATGTCATGCCGTTCTCAGAACCTAAATAAAACGACGTAAGTTAATATACAAAATCTCTTAGATCTTCAAGCAATGTGACTGATCAAGTGTATCTATTTGAAATAAAAAGATTTACAGAAACCGTGGTCAGCGATTAGTATGTTCGTGATAGATTCTTTAAACCTTCCCAGAAATTTTGTAGCTGCTTCTAGCGGATTTATTTTATGACGGTTCAATTTGTGTGAGGCTTACATGAAGAAGAAAGAATTAAGTGTCGTAAGTAAAGCTCGCGAAACCACGAAACGACCGTCAATGAGCGAGATCAATCAGAGTTTGCGTCAGTGAATTTGCGCAGTCACAACCACCAACTTTATCATCGTTGCCTTGGACATGCATTACTCCTCAAGGTTGTGCACTTCCTTCTCATCAACTTTTGTCCACATCTCGGCAGCAAATTTTGTACTCAAGTCATTACTTTTACTTTTAGTCCCTTGCCTTGACAAAGATGTACTAGGACTTGTCAAATGGATCCCGTCTCATTCCTCGTAGTGTGAATTGATGTTTTTTGCATTTTTCTACATAGATGTTCTTCGAGGCTACTAATAATAAGCTTATATCAAGCTCAATAATTTTAAAAATGACAAGGTTTACTGTATGCACAATGACTTTACTTATACCATGAAATTTCTCCAATTGGAACAATGTTTCGGCAAGAGCACGAAGCTTATTTTCTTCACGACACCTGGGTTAACTATAGCCAAAAGAAACTTGGGTCTGAATCTAACCTACTTGAACGCGGCCTCTCAATCATAGTATCAATAGCTTTAGATTATCAAAATCGCATATAGTTTGATTATAGTAATCAAAATCAGCAGTAATATAAACTAAAATATGTATTTGATCGTTCAGTGCTATTGATATCGTTACAGTGTTGAAACGGAATCAAATTTACTGCGCATCAGAGACAATGATAATTGCAATTAGAATCACGCAAATCAATGACGGAAACAGGTAGCAACTTTTATAAAAGATTTTGTTATTTTTATTCATTCTAAGTTTTTAATAGTCATCTTTTATAATTAGATTGATGTCGGAATATCTGCCTATCAAGGGAATAAATAATGTACCCTCCTACAGCGGCAAATGCTCTGCATCGCCTAGTGGCATAACGGTTACCTAAGAACGCTCGCGCATTAAATCATTAAGAAAGCGAGGCAATAACGTTGCAGCAAAAGAAAGTGAGAAGCTTATCCAGTGAGTGCAAGTTTACCGCTAACACTTACAGGGTTACTGAGGGCGGTGGCAGTTTGGACGATGGCTTCACTTTCTGTTGAGCGACTTGCGGTAGTCTCACTTTCATCTTCGAGTTCATACGGCGGCTGCTGACTTCGTCACTTCTTTATAACCGAGAGCTCGTTAAGCTCAGAGAATTTCTACTGCTTATAACTATGAGTTTGTGCTGATTAACGAAGACGAAGGCAATCTCCCAATGACTCAATACAAGCGAGACGGTCTTTGAATGCGTTAGTGTGT